AACTTTGAGGATTGTTATTGAAATAGTAATGTTGATGATTCTTTGAGAGACTTTAAGTAGTGGAAGTTGGGTGTTGGTCCCAAGGGGAAGGTGTCCGAGGCTTGAGTTTTCCTTTCCACTCTGTATAGCCTCTATTTTGATATACATGATTTGACTGATGTATATTGCCAAACTTTAGGGCCTTTTTGTTTTAGTTAACATTATCATAGCCTTTCCGCTGCATTCTAGACTTGTACTATTGGGCGGAGCCCTTTTTGGACATATGTGATTGTTATTTTGATTGCACTTGATAATGGGCAGCAGTGGTAGTTGTTTTGGTGGACTTCAAATGCCCTAGCCTATTTACAATTAGTCTTAATTGTATTTGAGATCCCAGAGTATTGCTGATGGATTTGATATATACCTGAAAAAAATCAAATGTTGATCCTTTCTTATTTGATTAACTATCTTTACTATTCTAGAACAGTAGCTACTACTCTGTTAAAGATTTGGTTTGTTATTGACTATGGTAGATTTCTATTTGATTCTGTTTATCCTTCCTATCATGGTTAGCCTTTTAAAGTAATTATTCTTTTGACAATGTTATTTACCATGAATTACGGGGGTTGTTACAAACTTGGTATTCAAAGCCTCATGTTTTTGGCTTTCTTGTTTCATTTTCATTATGGCATATAGTTGCATTGGCAATATACATTGATCATACATGTGCTTCCCCTTTATTATTAGACTTTTCTAAGTTTCTCAAAGCCTTATCGTTTCTTGGTTGGTTGCGTCCTTTAGGAGGGGAGAGATGGTAGATACACGTAGGACACAGCCGGCTAATAATAATAATAATAGCAACCCGGACCAACCTCAAGAGCCCCTAGACAATGAAGCATTCTTAAGGGAGCTAAGGACATTGGTAGTCCAAATCAGTCAGCAAGTTCAGAGACATGAGCAACAGCTGAATGAAATGAGACAAGATGAGGAGCCTGTCCAAGAAAATGGGCATATCAATGCTAATGAATCAAGTGGCCATCATTCCGAAGAAGGTCACCACACTGTTATGGAAACTGGGGATAGCAGTCAGCATGAACAGAAGAAGGAGCAACCTATTAGTGATGTATGGAGGAATTTCAATAGGTGTGATCCGCCAACATTTAATGGCAACTTTAATCCTTCTAAGAGTGAAGCTTGGATCGATCGTTTGGAAACTATCTTCACCTTGGTCCCATGCACCTCACGTCAAAGGGTGCAAGTGGCAGTTGTACAACTTGTTGATGCTGCTAAGAGATGGTGGGAGAGTGTTAGACCATCTGATGGCACTTTCCCTACATGGGAAGTGTTTAAGGAGATGTTCTTTCAGCACTATTTTCCTTCAGCCCTCCAATCACTGAAGGAGACAGAGTTCTATGCTTTTCAGCAAGACGACATGGATGTGGATGCTTTCATTGCTAAATTTCTAGAGTTGATTAAGTATACTGCTTATGGACAATCTGAAAAGAATAGCAAGTGGATGGCAGACAGGTTGTTACAAAAGGCTAGACCGGAGTTTAGACGACAGCTAGTGCCACTCCAGATTGATTCTTTTGATGACATGTGTACTCGACTTCGTCTCCTTGATGCTGAGATTAAGGGTTATGGCTATGAAATTGAGCCAAAGAGAGATTCCCAGGGCCGTTTCTCTTCCTTTATGAGGCCTAGTGGTGGAATTGGCAAGAAGAGTGGGTTCAATCCAGGAAGCTCTAGCAAGAAGAGCCGCTTCCAGAACAGACAGTCACAGAGGCCCCCACTTCCAAGGGGTAATGCTAGTGGGAGCCAATCATCATTCAGAGGCTCTACTACTTCTGCACCTAGCACGCACGTTCTCCAGCATGTTCAAGTGTGGCAAGCATCATCAGGGCAAGTGTTGGACTTGCTTTACTTGTGGCAAGGTTGGACATATCTCTCGCTATTGCACTGAAAACAAACAGAGTGCACCGGAGACCCGATCTACTATTCCCGGCCGTGTGTTTGCGTTGACTCAAGAGGAGGCCGGTGCGTCTCCTAACCTGATTAGAGGTATCATTTCTCTCCAAGGTCACAGTATACATGCATTATTTGACTCTGGTGCTACACATTCTTTTATTGCTTTTGAATGTGCTAAGCGATTGAACTTGCATGTTTATGATTTGCCTTTTGATATGAATGTTTCGACACCTGCTGGATCTTCTGTAAAAACTTCAAATGCATGCTTGAATCTTGTGTTGGAGTTTGAGAGTCACAAGACAAAGATTGATTTGATTTGTTTGCCCCTTAAGGGTCTTGATGTGATTGTGGGTATGGATTGGCTAACAGCTAATAGTGCCACGCTTGATTGTAAAGCAAAAACTGTTTCTTTGCCTATGTATTGCATGCCTATTGAGGTGCCTAGTGGCCCTCCTCTGTTATCAGCTGTTCAAGTTGAAAGTTGTATAAAGCAAGGATGTCAAGCCTTTATGGTCTTCTTTTCTGTGCAAGCTGAGATAGAAGAAGGGATTGATGAAATTGAGATTGTGAATGAGTTTCCTGAGGTGTTTCCTAAGGAAGTGTCAGGATTACCCCCTGAGCGGGAAGTAGAGTTTTCTATTGATTTGCCCCCTGGGACAGAGCCTATCTCTAAGGCTCCCTATCGAATGGCTCCTGCTGAATTGGCAGAACTAAAGAAGCAGCTTGAAGAGTTACTTGAGAAAGGATTTATCAGACCAAGTGTGTCGCCATGGGGATCACCGGTGCTATTTGTGAAGAAAAAGGATGGAACCTTGCGGTTATGTATTGATTATCGACAATTAAACAAAGTCACCATCAAGAATAAATACCCACTACCAAGAATTGATGATCTGTTAGATCAGTTGGTGGGGTCAGCAGTATTCTCTAAGATTGACTTGAGGTCGGGATACCATCAATTAAGAGTTAAAGCAGAAGATGTTCCTAAGACTGCTTTTCGTACTCGGTACGGTCACTATGAGTTTCTTGTGATGCCATTTGGCTTAACTAATGCCCCAGCTGCATTCATGGATTATATGAACAGAATCTTCAGACCCTATTTGGATAAGTTTGTGGTGGTGTTGATAGATGACATTCTCATCTACTCACAGAACGAAGAAGAACACCGTGAGCACCTTAGAATAGTGTTGCAAGTATTGAGGGAGCACAAGCTCTATGCTAAATTGAGCAAGTGCGATTTTTGGCTTAAGGAGGTAAAGTTTCTGGGGCATGTGGTTTCAGCTGAAGGGGTTGCAGTGGACCCTACAAAAGTTGATGCAGTTCTTAATTGGGAACAACCGAAGTCAGTGACTGAAGTAAGAAGTTTCCTGGGTCTAGCTGGTTACTATAGGAGGTTCGTACAAGGATTCTCTCAGTTGGCTATGCCACTTACTAAGTTGACCAAGAAAGACCAACCATTCATTTGGATTGAGAAGTGTGAAGCCGCCTTTCAAGAGTTGAAAAAGAAGTTGACTTCTGCACCAATATTGGTTATTCCTGATCTCGCATTGCCATACACCCTTTACACTGATGCTTCTTTAAAAGGTTTAGGGTGTGTATTAATGCAAGAAGGGAAGGTTGTTGCTTATGCTTCTAGACAGTTGAGACCACATGAGGAAAATTACCCAACTCATGACTTAGAGTTAGCAGCAGTGGTATTTGCATTGAAGATATGGAGACACTACTTATATGGTTCACAATTTGATGTTTTTAGTGACCATAAGAGTTTGAAGTATCTGGTGGATCAAAAGGAGCTTAATAATCGACAGAGAAGGTGGATGGAGTTTCTAAAAGACTATGACTTCCAATTGAAATATCATCCTGGTAAAGCAAATGTTGTCGCTGATGCTTTGAGTAGAAAAGCTGTTCATGTATTTCAATTGAGTCTCTATGAGAACCATTTGTTAGAAAGGGTGAAGGACACTGATGTGCTAGCTGATACGGATACAATCTTGCAGGCCATGCGGATTGAGAATGAATTCTGGAAGGAGCTCAAGATAGCTCAGTTAGAGGATGACTATTTATTGAAGGTTAGGGAAGAACTAGAAGAAGGAGAAGTAAGTGATTTTGAAGTTGGCGAAGATGGGATTTTGAGATTCAAAGAGAGAGTATGTATCCCTAATGATGGAAAATCCAAGCAATATATCTTAGAGGAAGCTCATCGAAGCAGGTACACCATACATCCAGGAATCACTAAGATGTACAATGATCTAAAGCAGAACTATTGGTGGCCTGGAATGAAGAAAGACGTGACAGAATTTGTCTCCCATTGTTTGACTTGTCAAAAGGTCAAAATTGAGCATCAGAAGCCACCTGGATTACTTCAAAATCTAGAGATACTGAAATGGAAATGGGATAGTATATCTATGGATTTTGTTATGGGGCTACCGAGGACACCTAGTAATCATGATGCAATTTGGGTGATTGTTGATCGTTTGACAAGTCTGCTCACTTCTTGCCTATACGAGCTACTTATACAATGGAACAATATGCTCAATTATATGTGAAGGAGATTGTCAGATTGCATGGTGTGCCAGAGAGCATTATCTCTGATAGGGATCTAAGGTTCACGTCGGGTTTTTGGAGAGCCTTACACCAAGCTATGGGTTCTAGGTTGAAATATAGTACATCTTACCATCCACAAACTGACGGACAAACAGAAAGAACAATCCAAACCTTAGAAGATATGTTGAGGGCGTGTGCCATTGAATTGAAGGGTAGCTGGGACAGTCACTTGCCACTGGCTGAGTTTGCATATAATAACAGCTATCACTCGAGCATACAGATGGCGCCTTACGAGGCATTGTATGGCAGGAAGTGTAGATCACCATTGTGTTGGACAGAATTGAGTGAAAGAACTATCATCGGCCCTGATTACGTTGATCGCACTACAGAAAAGATTGAAATGATTAAAAACAAGTTGTTGGCATCTCAAAGTAGACAGAAGAGCTATGCGGATAAAGACGGAGACCCTTGGAATTTGTGTTGGTGATCATGTATTTCTACGTGTCACTCCAATGACAGACATTGGAAGGTCGATCAAAGCCAAGAAATTGAGTCCAAGATTCATGGGTCCATATGAGATTCTTGCAAGAGTTGGTGAAGTAGCATACCAGATTGCTTTGCCACCACAGCTAGACAGGGTTCATAATGTGTTTCATGTGTCGCAGTTGAAGAAGTATCAACCTGATCCCTCACACATCATTGAGCCTGAAGAGGTTGAACTCCGTGAGAATTTGACTTACCGGACAGAACCGGAGCGAATTGCCGATGTGAAGGAGAAACAACTAAGAAATAAGACAATTCGACTTGTGAAAGTCATATGGAAGGGTATGGCCCCTGGTGATGCTACTTGGGAAATGGAAGAGAAGATGCGACAATCTTATCCACATCTTTTTACTTAGGTATGTAGAATTCCTACTCAACTAAATTTTGGGGACAAAATTCCTATTTAGGAGGGGAGAGTTGTAACATTCCATTTTTTTTTCCTTTATCTTATTATAGGATTTAGGTTATATGGGTGAGATTAATTCATAATACTTAATATTAAAGCTTATTGAATAAATTGTAAATCATAGTTTCTGTGATATACATATAAATTATAAAAAAAATAAAAAATAAAAATTATATATAAAAAATTAATTAAAAAATATATATATATAAAATAAAAAGGCAAGTGGGTGGCACGTGGGCCACCCACTGCCAACGGGAAGAAGGGGGGGCTAAGACCCCATTAGACTGTGGCTTTCAAAAAAAAAAATTTGAATTGAAAATTGGAATGATGTGGTGGATCACGTGACCCACTATTATTTCCCCCTCCCTTCGTCCGCTTTTCCCCTTCCCTTTCCGCTTCGTTCTTTCCTCTGGTGCGCATCCACGCCGTGCCGCGACAGTGAGTGGGCGTGAGAGGTAGTTTGAGTGTGTGAGAAAGGAAGGGCTCTACTTGGGTACATATAAGATATTTAGGTAAGCTATTTTATCCTACTATTTTTATTTAACTCATTCTTTTATTTTCTAAGTTATGGCAGAATGAATATTTTTAGGGCTTGTTAGATTTTTAATTTTTAAGGCTTCTAATTTAGTATTAGGATATTAATAGAGCTTATGTGGTTAGAATAAGAGTTTTATGACTTAGATTTTAGTTGGATGGTTGATTTGAGGCAATGTAAATTAGGGATTGGTTGAGAAATGGTGATTTGTATTAATGATGATATTAATTTCGAAATTTATCTTTTAGATGAGTTCATTTGAGGTTATATTGAGGATTCAATACTTAAACTTTGAGGATTGTTGTTGAAATAGTAATGTTGATGATTCTTTGAGAGACTTTAAGTAGTGGAAGTTGGGTGTTGGTCCTAAGGGGAAGGTGTCCGAGGCTTGAGTTTTCCTTTCCACTCTGTATAGCCTCTATTTTGATATACATGATTTGACTGATGTATATTGCCAAACTTTAGGGCCTTTTTGTTTTAGTTAACATTATCATAGCCTTTTCGCTGCATTCTAGACTTGTACTATTGGGCAGAACCCTTTTTGGACATATGTGATTGTTATTTTGATTGCACTTGATAATGGGCAGCAGTGGTAGTTGTTTTGGTGGACTTCAAATGCCCTAGCCTATTTACAATTAGTCTTAATTGTATTTGAGATCCCAGAGTATTGCTGATGGATTTGATATATACCTGAAAAAAATCAAATGTTGATCCTTTCTTATTTGATTAACTATCTTTACTATTCTAGAACAGTAGCTACTACTCTGTTAAAGATTTGGTTTGTTATTGACTATGGTAGATTTCTATTTGATTCTGTTTATCCTTCCTATCATGGTTAGCCTTTTAAAGTAATTATTCTTTTGAAAATGTTATTTACCATGAATTACGGGGGTTGTTACAAAAGCAGCTAATAATGACAAGTTTTAGAATAGGAAATGATAATTACTCATTTATCATTGAGACTTACTGATAATTATTTTCTCTATTTGAAACCTCATTGTAATTTTTCCTATTGTGTTAGGTAGCAAAACAAGTAAATATTTTATTGATAAATAATTTGTAAATATTCTCTTGTAAAAACATTAGAACGAATGATAATTAAGGAACTCATAAGAAATTTGATACTAAATCATTTTTTTAATTTTTAAATTTAGAAAAATGAGTATTGAATTTAAGAGATGAGGTCTTGATTTAGTAATGATATATTGTTATGAAGTCCTTAATTTCATTTTGCGTAAACATTATTCAAATTATGAACTATTTTGACTTTAATTATATTTTAAGACAATCTGTGGTTTAACAAGTAAATTCCAACTATTTATTCAATACATACTATGGAAACCTCCCAAGTTTTTATCTTTCCTTTTTTTTCAAAAAAAAATATAGAAAACTATTTGATGTCTTTTCAAATTGTTTAATTTTTTTTTTCTATTTTTCACAACAAATGGACCTAAAATTTGACAAGATGGAGGCACATTCATTCCCCTTGTCATCATTCGGGAAAAAGAGAGAAAATATTATTAAGGATCCTATGATGAAATAACAATTATTCTAATACCTTAAAATTCAAATATTTAAAGGACCCAAGGTTTTTTTTTATACTTTTCAGAATTGTTTTTCCAGAAATTTCCGATATTATTTGTCAAAGTCTGATATTTAAAATGTTAAATTATAATGGGAAAATAACGAAGAAGACAACTTTAAAATAAAGCATCTCTTTAAATTTTAGTTTAAATAAGAGATTGAGAGTTTGACCTTTCACAATATGATAGATACGTGAGTTTATTCATTTAGGTGAAGGATGACAAAAGAAACTTTCAAATGATTAATGATAATTAATTTTATTCTTTTCGGATAATATTTTTGGAAAAATTATTATTTTGTATAAGTTCCAATTGTTGCTTTTGAATTTTTTGTCCACCTAAAGTTAACTTTTTCATCCACCGATGTGCCTTTGATGTTATAATTTTCTAAGCTGGATCCTTTGTCACAGACTTTACGAGATTTTGAATGGTTTATGCTTTCTCATGACACTGAAAGGGCGTAATGTTTATTCCAAATAATTAGTGTGGGGCACTTTGTTGTGAGACATATTATTAAAGATGAGTATAAAATTTTTAGATTAAATATATCTTAGATATTAGATATAGTGGGGCCCCTTCTCCATTAATGAGGGGCCAAAATTTTCAAAAGTGTTCTTTTTCTCCGGTGGACGTAGTCATTAGTCAAAAGTTTGTTCTTTTGGACCGAAAAACGCATTCATTTTGTTTTTAATTAAAAAAATCAATTATATAAAATAAAAATATTATTCCACTAATTAGGGGTGAGCAAAACCGAACTATAACCGAAAACCGAACCGAACCAAATTTAATTTCGGTTTTTCGGTTCGGTTATTTCGGTTTTCGGTTATATATTCGGTTTTTATTTTTTAAACAATTCGGTTTCGGTGTTCGGTTCGATTAGTAGAAAAAAATTTGATTATAACTGAATAACCGAAATAAATATATTATATATTTATATTTAATAAATATTATTATAATAAATATATATGTGGGTATATGTGAACTTTTTAAATATATTATATTCAATAAATATGATTATAATAAATATTATTATAATAAATCACATTGAATGATGAAATATTTATTAATTAATGGTTATAATTGTGTTTTATTATTTTAATTTAAAATTATTTTTCATATTTATATATTTCGGTTAATCGGTTAACCGAACCGAAATTTTCGGTTAATTCGGTTTCGGTTAGTTTGGTTATTCGGTTTCGATTCGGTGTTTAAAATTTACTCTATTCGGTTATTCGGTTAATTCGGTTATTACCGATAATCGAACCGAAAACCGAATGCTCACCCCTACAACTAATGTTGGTATGATAATGTTAGTATATATAGGGATAATGATTGGAAAAGATTGAAGCAACAAATTCAAGAAAAAGATAATGCATGGCAAAAGAAATATTACACTAATAAAATAGCCCACCATCCAGTTTTAAATATAAAAATTTGTGGAGAAATATATTTTAATTTTAAATGTAAAACTTCAATCTATTTTCTCTTATTAATTTATAACTTTTAGATGAAGGAAGTTTTTCATAAAGAAAATAATTTTTAATACAAATAATTAAAATGAATATTTCAAGTAAATTAACCCACATATTTTAAAAGATAACTAATTTAATCTATTTTATTAATCTTTTGCAAACTAATTATTTAATCCTACATTAAAGACTTAAAGGAGTATTAACATAAGTGGTTTTCTTAAAACTCATTTACACGATATTTTTTTGGCACAAAAATTTACATGAGATTAAAGTTCTTTCAATGGACAAAATGAAATTAAATAAAAAAGAGAATAAAATAAAAAATACTTTTATGATAACAATATTTTAAAAACGGCTAGATGTTGTCTTTGTATATATATAAAACAGATTCAATTATTTTAGCAACCGATCAAATTCAAATTCAATGAGTATAGTGACGATAGTAGGTTGTCACCAAAAAATAAAAACAAACTGACGTTAGTAGAATTTAATGAACTTAAAATAGAATTAGGTAATTGACACAACAACTTAGTACCCATGTCCCATGGTTAGTTAATTAACTAAACTGATAGGGAATTAATGATAATTAATTTTGACATCATTATCAAAATATCAATATCACTCATATATCCATCAAAAATAAATTGTAACCAGACATAATAGATCTGTTATCAACCAGCTCGGAGCTCAATTAAGTGTTGAGATAACGTTTTTGTTAGTACTTGCATTAAAACCTCAATCAAATGCTCATAAAAAAAAAACTTTTCTCACTCGAATTTAAAAAAAAAACTCGTATTTGATTATAAGACAAAATTTTATAGGATGTATCTTATATACTATAAAATAAGATAATATATAAATTTTAAGGTGAGTAATGAATATTCTCAAAAATGCCCCCTTGGCTTTAAGTGAAAAAAAAGATAAATACTATAAGAAAATAAAAAAAATTTATATAAGTTTTTGAAAAATATGAAAGTGGTGGAGAGTGATAATTAATACAGTGATATAGTAACATATAATTAATAGGAGTAAAAATGAAAAAACTAATTAAAATTTCATATATCATATACACGTAATAAATAAATAAAATATTGTGTCCAATAAACTACGAAAACCTGACATGATTAGGATTTAAGTGGATTTCTTAAATATGTAATAAGGGGTTTGATCGAGATGCAGATGAAGAGAGTCTCATAATCTGCACTAAATTCTTTTTTTAAAAAATTAAATTTTTAATTAACTTTTGGGTAAATATATATAAATTTTTCGAGTGAATAAATATACACGAGTTGGGGTTCCGTTGCCTCTCCCGCCAATTAGGTCTTGGAAATGGGGTCTCTTATTAGGCTTATGAAGGCAA